TGACATGTGTCTTCTGCTTCCACATGTTGTGAGTTTCTTCAAGCTCCATTTTACCCTGTCACAAGAATAAACAACAAATCATAAATGTTAGTTTTGAAGGGCATTAAATGTTGCCCTCCTACAGACCACACTCTCTTGAATACAAATTCCATAGTCAACATAAGGGGAGCAGTACAGGCGTGATTGTAGTTCCATATGCACAGTGAGTCAGGAATTGTACTCACAATAGTCAAGTTTGAGGTTTAGAGCAATGAGTCCTAAACAAAAAGCACTGCAAAGATGATTGGCTTTTATCAGGTTATCCTGCGTTTGAAGTGAATGTACTCACAACTCCAAGCAAAAACCAGAAATGTTCATGCCGTTATTACTATTTTTTATTCTTTTTTTTTTTTTTTTTTTACGTTTTTGAGGAAAGCTGCAAGGGGAGAAATGGGTGGAGTAAGGATAAAAAGTAAGACACCCCTGAACAAACATCAAATTCCCCTTGATACAAGATCTCTAGTATATACAGCCTTTTTTTTTTATTACCAATTATTTATCTTTTTTCACTCTAAAATAAACATAATAAAAAATCCTACCTCATGTGTTTCAGTCACAAAGTAAAACATAAAAAAACAAGATCTTGTAAGATTCTTACAAGAATCTTACAAGATCTTACAAGAATCTTAATAAGATACTTGTTAAGATCTTGGTAAGAATCTTAATAAGAATCTTGTTAAGATCTTAATAAGATTTCCACCTGGGACAACAACAAAAAAAATAAATAAAAAATAATAATTTTTCTACAAGAACGGGAGTCTTTTAGCATTTATTGCAACTTACGGATCCCAAGTGAGTCGCAATTTTGAGCACTGCCAAGACAAGGGCACTCAGTTCTGAGTATATATTTTTTTAAAACAAAAAGACGTCATGTCTTGATACTAAAAAATAATGATCCAGGACAATTGGTTAATTTTGATTTTACCTAGGTTGATAATCTCAATTTCTCAAAAATATCAAAATCTCAATCTCAAAAATATGAAGCGACCCCTCTCTATTTCTGGTGCTTTAATTTGGAACAGTATTCCACTTTCTATGAAAACACTTTAAAAAAATCAATTCAAAAGCGAACTAAAGAGAAAACTCTTTGAAATACTGGAAAAAGAGGACGACTATATTAGAGTTTCAGATATTACAGGGCAATTCTCAAAATCGTAACATGGTGTGCTTCCGTATGAAGTACAGTCTCCCTTCCTGTCTCACTCTGGCTATAAACCACACGACAAACTAGATTGCTTCTAGGATTGTTTGTTTAACATATATATATATATATATATATATATTTATACAATTTTCCTTTTTCTCTTGTACCCGCCTCGAATAGCCTTCGCTAATTGCGGGCACAAGCTTTGTAAGCTATATTTAATTTGAAATAAACTTGTTGTTGTTGTTGTTGTTGTAATTTCCTTTGTTTCCTAGCGCTAATTAATGAATAATTAGAGCTAACAGAAAAAGGAAATTGAGAATCAACCTAGGTTAAAAATATTTAACCTGAAATCAAATTTGACCTGTAACATATACATGACATTCTGTTGATAATCTTACATTTGCAAAAATTTCTAGTTTGTATTTTCATATACATTATTTGTAAATATCATTAGTTTTTAGATACACATTGAAATAATTAGTTAGCAAAAATTCCAACAACCCCACAAGCTCATGTAGCTTTTAATAAAGGCTATCTGTCTATGTCAGAACTTAATTCCTATCCATGACATAGATTCATCCATACCACTGACAACATGAAGTGAATTTAAATACAACACATCCAAAAAGTAGTCTCTGAAGAAATCCTTTCCCTATATAAACAGGGCATTCTACAGTGACGTCACTACCCAAAAACCGCACAGTCACGTCACTGGATGGCATTAACAGCATATCGCTTCAGACGTTGCGGAGTTTAAATGGAGGGATTATAAATTAATTTTAGTCCTCATACTGTTAGTTAGGCTTTCCTTACTTTTAGGGAAGCTTCACTTTATACAAAACAACTCAAGTAAGTTCAGTAAGTATATCCAAATAATGAGAACAAAACAGTAGTTAACTTGGACAGATCCATAATAGTTTCTTGTCTGCGCAGTTTTTTTTTTTCTACATAATTTTGGGAGAACAAAATAAAATTTGTCATGTTGGCGCATCTCAAACTCATCACTTAGAGGATGCAATTTCTTAGGCCTACGCCAAACATCAAACTTTTCATGAGACGAACCACATTAGTTTAGTTCAACGCATGTGAAGATCAACATTTGTCCCAGAGAAGATCTTAAGACGTACAAAGTGTTGGACAATCCAAACTCATTAGGACCAACTAAACAGTGCCATACATCGAACTTGTCATGAACTTATAACTCACTAAGTTTGGTTCGTCTTGTAATATATTGAGTATCCCCTAAGGAAGCTGTCATTACCAACAATGCTATGACAAAAAAAGTTGTGGTTGGAACCTACCACGATATGTCTTGTTTAGAGTGTTGAGTCATGCAGTTCTATTAGTTTATTACACATCTCATGAAAAGTTTGACATTTGGCCTAGGCCTTAGTTTTTCCCTTAGTGAGCAACAGTCCCCTTAAAGTGACGAAAGCCGTTAGCTGCAAATGAGACTGAATTATAAGTAAATCTATTTGCACTCATTCAAACTATGAGGAAGAAGACGAAATTGAATTTAGGGATGTTGAACAATAACCTTAGGGGTCTCCAAACGAAACACACAACAGCAATAATTAGTAAAAGGTTATATAATTTCTACTATTATTGGTTGATGTTGCGATCAAGCATAGATAGTCGTTATGCTCCTCACAATAAAATGCTGTACAAATATCATTAATTAACGCCACGTTTGCTTCTAAGTTTTATAAAAGTAAAATAAACTGGATTTGGTAGTAGCGTTATCTGCAGTTACTTCAAGACGCATAAAAATACGATGCACTGAAACTGCATCAAAAGATTTCGACTGTCCACTCAAGCTGTGAGGAAGGCATAAATTTTTGATGACCTGTTCTGACTTTGTTTACAATCTATATTGAACTACTTCAACGCATCAATAATTAAATAATAAACTGCCTCACTTACGATTTCTTGATAAAAAAGCAATTTTGTCAATCCTTTTTTGAACGCAGCAAACAGAGAACCTGTATTAGCACCGAATTTGTCGATCATTACCTACTCTGTTCTGTGTCTTGTTTTACTGCAAAGAAAAAAATGGCGCGTTCTAAAACAATCAACTCGATTTGCTTCGCAACCAAATTATGCAAGATCACAAAGACCTAGCGACATTAATATTCATACTTTTATTAGACACTTCCTTTTAATCTGTAATGCATTCAATTGTGGTAATTTGGAAATAAAAGCTGGTACAAAGGATTCAATTATCAAACGGTCGTCAAGGGTTTCTTATGCAAAACAAATTATGCGTTCCGTGCGCGAAAATCGAGCTTCTGTGATAAGGAAAACCGTATCTGAGTTGTAATATTCCATGTTTTGAGCGGGCAAAATCTATGCTGCGCTAAGAATACTTTGAAATAAGAAGAAAACTCACCTTGAAGCTACAGTAGCCAGAAAAAGATCAATCTGCCACGATGGCGTCCGTTGCACTTAGATCTCGGGTGGTGGGCTGGAACTAGACGCGAGGAGGGGTTGGTTGAGGAGGGGTGGGGTTCACACTCTACCCCACTCCACAGGGAAATCTAATCGAGACAATCATTATTTGTTTACTGTTTTGTTTTATTCTGTTTATTTATTCATTTCATTCTTTTAATTCATTTTTCTATTTTTTTATACTTTTTTATGTAAACTCAAATCCTTTTTAAAGTTGTAATTTTTATTGTTTGTTTGTTGTTTTTAGGAGAGTTTTATTCATAGGGTTAACCTCTAGACTCTCCCTTTCAAATTTATGTAGTTATATATGAGTTTGAATAAACATGTATGTTATGTTATGTTATGTTATGATTATGGTTAGGATTATTTATTATGATAATAGTGGAATGTAAATTGTTCATGTGATGACTGCCGCTTAAACGCTAGCCAAGTGTCTGTCCCCTAACTTTAGAAACTCGAAAATGGTGTGAGCTTGTAAATTAGTATTTTAAGATCTTTTAATATTTTTATTTCATCAAAATTTTAGTGTAATAAAGATTCATATTTATTATAATTTATTTATTAAATATTCTTTATTTATATTTTATATATAGAGTTTTTTTTTCAGAATAGCTAAGAGGTTTACACTCTATATTTGGCCTTCTGAGTCAGGTTGTTCAAAGCCCAGGCTTAGTGTGAAATTTGAACTCGGCTATAGAAGAAATAATTTTAGTTTTTAATTCTTTTTTTTCTACTATTTCGTGATTGCATGCTCTAAAAAGATTAGAGACAATTATCCAAGAAAAAGCTTTTGAACAAAAGAAAAAGAAACTTGGATCAAAATTTAACTCCAGGTTAGCTCTTTAATATCAGCTTTCAGAAACCTGGGCCCAGTTCTTGGAACTCAAGGTACCTGGAAAGGGTATAATGTCATTTATCAGCTGCATTATATTCCATGATAGTATATACAGCAGTGAAGGGTATTATTTTGCTAAGAACTTAAAAACACAAAAGAAGTCTTTTTTCTTCCAAAATGATTAGTCCAGCCATTCAGTTCTGACTTCTGGTTATTGACTTCACTTAGAGTCTCTTCTTCCAAAAAATGCATCCATGAAAACAGCAAACAAAAAATAACAAACAAGCAAAAAATTAACAAACAAAATGGCAGGACTAGCCTGACTGCTAACTCTGCATTTACTTAATCCATCTAATTTTTTTCAGGAAACAATCTTCAGAGTCTGTTTAACAGTGTTTAAGGGGATAGTCTATTAAGAGGTGCAGAGACCAATGCTACAATTACATGTACCATCGTCCTCTATAAAGCCCCCCC